CGCGGGGCCCTCTCACACCTCCCACACCAGTCGAGTTTGGTTGTAAGAAGGGCCAGACAGGCCTCGTGCCTACTATTCCTATCTTTCCAGGTGTAGCATCCAAGAAGATGGGACTTGTGCTGGAACGGGTGTGCACCACCCTCCTGGGCCTAGAGGACCACCTGAATGCCCTGGACCGGGCTGCTGGTGATGGGGACTGTGGCGCCACCCACAGTCGGGCTGCCAGAGGTTAGTGCTGGACCCCCACAGGGGTCTGCAGAGGGACTGGTATGGCCACCTGTGCCTTAAATTTTGGCATTCCATGAAACAGACTGATTTCCAAAACATTTACAGTGCTATTGGGGGTTGCCAACCTGTACTTGGCCGAGTGTGGTCATTCACAAAACCACTGCATCCTTTCGCCTATTTTCCTAAAGAAGAGGAGTACCTTAACACTATAGATGTAGGAGGTGATTATCTTAGAATAAAATGAAACCCTTTGCAGTGAATAATAAATTGTGGTTCAAGCCAAATTCATTCTGTTGCCCTTATTTTTCTCAGCTTACCCAGACTGATAAAAAGGACCATTAATTCATGAAAATGTATTTAGAACCCACCATGGGCCAGGCTCTGCTTTCATCCCTGTGACAGCAGTGAATGAAGCAGGCAGAAATCTCAGTGAACCAAGCAGAATGCTAGTATAGAGAAGCTGAGGGAAAGGCATGAAATAAGCAAGCAGGGTGTGAAATGCAGGTGTTTGGGGCAGGCTCACCCCCGGGTGACTCCCAGGTCCCTTTCCTAGCCCTCTCCAGACTGCACACTAGACATGGAAGGAGACTCTTGGCAGTGGCATTCTGGTTCCCTCTTGGCCTCTTCCAGCCCTCATTCATTCTGACTGGCATTGTCTCAACACAGTGGGGTCCAGGCAAAGGAATCGTCTCCAAACCCCTTACCATCTCTCTGCCTGCAGCGATCCAGGGGTGGCTGAAGGAGGGTCCCCTGCCTGCCAGCCCTGCCCAGCTTCTCTCCAAGTTGTCCGTCCTGCTTCTGGAGAAGATGGGAGGCTCATCTGGGGCAGTGAGTGCCAGCAGCCTCTGGGGGCAGAAGGGCTGACGGGAGCATCCTGACTTGGCTGGGGCCCAGGCCGCCTCCACATTCTTAGCATTCTGGTCCTCCCCAAGCTCTATGGCCTGTTCCTGACTGCAGCTGCCCAGCCCCTCAAAGCCAAGACTGACCTCCCAGCCTGGTCTGCTGCCATGGATGCCGGCCTGGAGGCCATGCAGAAGTGAGCCAAAGCCCTGTGCTTCCCCCCAGCATGGGCTGCAGGAGGTGGTTGGTATCCCCACCCTGAGTGATTGCCGACTGTAAGCCTTGCCCATTTTCTCTCCCTGCCAGGTATGGACAGGCTGCACCAGGGGACAGGACAATGGTGTGTAGTTGAGCTGCAGCCCCAGCCCTTCCCCGTCTTGGCCCTCAGTGGCAGGGTATGCCTCAGCTCCCCCATCCCTTTGTCCAGCTGGATTCTCTGTGGGCAGCGCGAAAGGAGCTCCAAGCCTGGAAGAACCCAGGGGCCGACCTGTTCCAAGTCCTGACCAAAGCAGTCAAGGTGAGTGAGACTGGGCCTAGTCACCCAGTACAACAGGCTTGGAGCCACCAGGCTCCCATCTCCAAAGACCCTGAGTGCCTGAGCTGCAGCTTCCTCCCCTGTCAAATGGAGGTGCGTGTCTGTGGGGCTAAGGAGATCTATAGAGCCCAGCACAGGGCCTGGACATAGCAAGGACTCAGGAAACGATAGCTGCTTTTCCTGCTAGAAGTGGTGAGTGATGACCTTTCCCCTGCATGATAGTAGAGGGAGGAGGCAGAAAAGAGGAGGCCTGATGGCCTGTCCTTGAATCTCCTCCTTCACTCACACCCCCTCAGAGTGCTGAAGCTGCAGCTGAAGCCACCAAGAATATGGAAGCCGGAGCCGGACGAGCCAGTTACATCAGCTCTGCGCGGCTGGAGCAGCCAGACCCCGGGGCCGTGGCAGCAGCCGCCATCCTCCGTGCCATCCTGGAGGTCTTGCAGAGTGAGGATGCATGAGTGCCTCCTCAGCCTCAGCTCTTCTCACTGGGTGCTGAGGTGGCCACTGTCACCCTCCCAAGTCCAGCAGGAAGTCTTCCAGCAAACCTGCAGAAGTACATTGCAAACAGCCAGAGTGGGCCCTGCACCTCTCCAGCTCTGCCCTTTCCCTCCCAAGAAGGATGGAGCATGTGGGTCCCCCTGCCCTGGCCAGGCCAGCTCCAGGCTTGGGCTTTGGTGATACGGCGTTTTCTTTCTGAGTTGAAGCACAGCCTTTATGTGGCAATGCTAATTTGCCTCTGAGACTCCAAACCATTTCCTGTGAAAGACCCTCTGTATCTGAATCCGACTCAGCATGGAAAAGAAAGCTAATAAAGCACATTGACGCCATAAAACTGCTGCTGCTTCCTGCGAGGCCTTCGCCCTGGCGGCAGTGAGCATGCCTAGCACCTACCAGGCACTGAGCCGCACAGGCAGGCTCTGCTCAGCTGGGCTGTGTCCCCTGGGTTCCCCATGCCTAGCCTCCTCCTTGTGCACACACACCTGATGCTTGTGAGAATGGCAGAAAGGCTCCCAATCACAAATTCAGTGCTCCTTTGGGAATTGAATTTGGGCCACCAGAAGGAAAGGAAATCATATTCTAAGGCTCAGTTACAGACCAGGCCGCTTCCTAGAGCAGTTACTGACAGTACCTGGAGCATGGAGGACACACACAGTGCATGCTGGCACCTGCTCAGGGTAGGAGAGTGGCTAAAGGCACTGGCTGTGGATTCACATCACACGCACATGACTGGGAATTTGGTTCTGCTTTAAACAGCTACGTGAACACAGAACCCATTATTTAGCCTTGTAGAATCTGTGAAATCAGAATGGTACTCATTTCACCAGAACATAAAGGATTCTAATGACTTGACTTTAAGATTTTATTTTTTGAAAGGCGGATACATAGAAGGGGAGAGAGAGCTTTCTCCACTAGTTCACTCCCCATATGGCCTCAACAGCCAGGGCTGGGCCAGCCGGAAGCCAGAAGTTTCTTCTAGGTCTCCCACGTGGGTGCAGGGCCCAAGCACTTGTACCATCTGCTGCTGCTGTTCAGGCTCATTAGCAGGGAGCTGGATTGGCAGGGGAGCAGCCAGGACTTGAACCAGTGTCCATATATATGGGATGCCAGTGCTGCAGGTGGACGCTTAACCTTTTTTTTTTTTAAAAGATTTATTTTATTTATTTGAAAGACAGTGTTACAGAGAGAGGTAGAGACAGAGAGGTCTTCCATCCGCTGGTTCACTCCCAATGGCTGCAACAGCTGGAGCTGCACCGATCTGAAGCCAGGAGCCTCCTTCGGGTCTCCCACATGGGTGCAGAGGCCCAAGGACTTGGGCCATCTTCCACTGCTATCCCAGGCCATAGCAGAAAGCTGGATCGGAAGAGAAGGAGCCAGGACTTGAACTGGTGCCCATATGGGATGCCGGTGCTTCAGGCCAGGGCTTTAACCTGCTGTACTACAGCCCTGGCCTCTGTAGGCTTAACCTTCTATGCTACAGCGCCAGCTCCTCTAATGATTGATGAAGGTGTAATGCCAACATGTCCCAAGTGCTCACGCACTGGGAGTGGCTATCACCAGCTGGTCACCCTAGGAAAGGGGCCCCTTATCACCTACTTTGCCCAAATTTGACTCTAAGTACCCCCAGCCACAGGGCCACCCCATCCAGGGTCTCCTGTTCCTCAGCCACAGCATGGGTCCTGGACCACAGGGCCAGTATCAGCATTCACAGGTGCCCATGCTTCTTGGGTCCAAACTGAACTTCTGCCTGGCACGGTGACCCCAAGCCACTCACTTACACTTGGGTCTTATTTTCCAGGTTCCTTTCTAACAAGATAAACAAGTGCTTAAAAGCCATTAACTATTTTTTAACAGAACGTTTTCCATGTTTATTTATTTTCATCTACTTGAAAGAGATTTTCCACCCACTCGTTCACTCCCCAAATGCCCACAATAGCCAGTTCTGGGCCAGGCTGAAGCCAGGAACCAGGAAACCCATGCATGTCTCCCATGTTTGTGGCAAGACCCAAGCACACAGGCCATCTTCCACGGCTTTCCCAGGATAAGATGTGGAGCAGCCAGGACTCAAACTGGCACTCCCATAGGGGATGCAGGTGTCGCAAGCAGCAGTTGAACCCACTGCACCACAGACACCCACACCAGTCATTAACTACTAAGGACATCCACATGGGACTCTCATGTGATTCTATGCAGACAATCCTGTAGATCTTTGGTGCCCTCTGATTGACACTCCCTAGTTCTGCGAGGATGAGGCTGTCCTGGGGCTCTTGCAGGTTGCCCCAGAGCTCATTTAACCACGATGTTATTTCAGCAGAGAAGGCTTCTGTGAGGAGCTGTTTCACTCATAGCGAAGTCTTCACCCCAGTGAGATGGCATTGGGAGTGCGGCCTTTGAGGAGATTAGGTCGTGAGGGTGGAGCCTTCATGAATGGATTGTGCCCTCATACAGGGGCCCCTGAGAGCACTCCCGTACTCTCTGCCCCGTGAGGTTTCAGCAGGAAGTCTGCGGGGAAGCCACCCTCAGCAGCTTCCAGAATTGTGAGAAATGCGTGTTGTTTACCCGGTCTACAGTGTTTCTGTTACATCAGCCCAAAAGGACTGACAGCTGTGATTCTCATAAACATATTTGATGAACATCAAACTTCATAAGCAAGTGAGATACCTACCCATCTGAAAGGGGGGAGCTGGTCATGTGACCAAGGTGCCCTCATCCCAGCAGTGCTGCAGGCTTCCTCCACCAGGTAGCTCAGTCAGGGCCTTACTGCCAACATCTGACAGTGTGGTGCTGGGCTGCACAGTCAGCCAGATCGCTCCTCTCTGGGAGCTGGCAGACCCAAACCCCAGACCTCATCCCTCCTGTCTGCTGAGCACAGTAGAATGGAACCTGGAACTGTCAGGGCTTATTTGATGATTTTTTAAAATTTTTATTTATACATTACAGAGACAAAGCTTACATCCACTAGTTCACTCTCCAAATGTCCGTAACAGTCAAGGGGCCAAAGCTGGGGAGCCCAGAATTCAAGCCATGTCTCCCATGTGGACAGTAGGAACCCAGCTACTTGAACCATCACTGCTACCTTGCAGGGAAGGGAAGCCAGAGTCAGGAGCCAGAGCTGGAGATCAAACCCGGGTATTCCAGTGAGATGGTGCCTGTCCAGGCTTGCTTGGAGAAGGCAAGAAAAGCCACAGTGGTGGTAGAGGAGCGAGACTCCTCCCTCCCTCACCCAGAAGACGGAGTTAAGCTAGGTAAGTGGCCACTGTGGGGGCAGGACAGCTGATGCTCAGCAAAGGAGACCTATGAAAGAGGCTTCTGGGGCCTGCTGGGCACGGTGCACCACAGTTATGGTTTCATGATGAGTGGGAGAGGGAAGCATAGGTGGGCTTGGGCCCCAGTGGGCAGGAAGCCCTGACCCAGCAAAGGGAAGTAACAGGAACCCACTACCTCTCTACTCATCACTACCAGGACATCTGGGAACAGCCCGTCTGTTCTTGGAGAGCAGGTTACCAGGGCCCGAGGGACTGCCTGACGGTGACAGGCACGTAAGTCACAGGAAAAGGCTGCGATCCAGACCCCCGCTGTAGCAGCAGCTGGAAGAGGTGGAGCCACGTGGTCACACATGTGAACACATGGACACACACGCAGAGCACAGTGCAGTGATGTGAACCGGCAGCTCAGAGCTGCCAGCTCCTCCACCTGTGCCCCTGCAGAAGCTGCTTTCTGCCACCCTCCATGCCTTCTTCGGTGGTCTCTGCCCAGCCTCACATCCAGGTGGGCTGGCTGGGGACAACAAAGCGGATGAGTGGCTTCCTGGGGAGTGGGTGCACTGAGATGCATGCCCTCAAGGGGAAAACTGACTCCCTCAGCTTCCACAGCGTGGGCTGCACTTGAGTCCCAGTTCCTCTGAGCTGTCGGGATTGTCTAGCACATCCCTAGGAGTCGAAAGGGGCAGTCAGCCTGACTCCACACAGGACAGGTGCAGCAGGAGCGACCAGGGCAAGCAGGATCTTGTGGAAACAGAGGACCTGAGAAGTCCACGACAAGAAGCCAAAGCCATCAAGAAAAGCAGATGGGCAGCACGTGGCTGGAGAGAGTAGACCTGTTCCCGTGGCAAGGAGAAGTTTGGGCCCAGCACCCAAAGATTGTTCCGCAGTCAGCCGGGAGCCCAGGAGTAGGAACGCTTCTGAGAGGAGTGCAGACTGCACCACCAGGTGGTCCTGAAGCCCCTCCCCACTTCATTCCCCATCATGCAGCAGAGGCTGGAAAGACAGGCAGATGCACGGGGTTAATAACATCAAAACAGTTCCAGACCCACAGGGGCCTCGCCAGGCACGAGCTGTACAGGTAGATCCCAACCTGCAGGGTTATCCTCACCAAGCCACCAGATCTCAGGGGAGCCCCAAAGCCCCTGATCCCGAACACTCCCCCGTTCCCTACATCCTGTCAGATACCCGATGGCCAGGAACAGCAGCACCTACTCCAAGCACCATCCCATCAGGCTAACTGAAGCTGGCACAGCGGAAACGGCTGCACACACACCTCATGTTCTAGCCCTTACCTCGGCACTTTAGGCCACACCTCATCCCCTGAAACCACAGGACTGGGGAGGGGGCTGTGTTTCCTAATGGACAGCCCCTAGGGGCCCCTGAGCCTCACGGCTCCCTCTGCTGTGATAGCAGTGTTTGACACCAGTGTTCCCATCACCTTCAAGCTACTTGGTTTCCCCTTGCTACTGCACCTGTCTTTTTGGCAAAGCCCAGGTCTTTCCTGGGTGACCATGTTTAGACCTGGCCCTACCCCACCCTGGAATGGGGGACAGAAAGCCGTACCTGTCTGTCAGTGAGGCTCCCTGGCTCTGGCCGCTTCCAAGATGAAGCCAAAAGGATATAGAGTACCAGCAGCCCGAAGGCCAGCACCAGCAACCCAGTGCTATTGGCAAAGACGGCCTCGGGGGGCAGGCTGGAGTACGGCTTGCCTGGATCTTTCCTGAAGATAAGATGACATGAACCCTTGAGAGACCTTCCCACTTGTTCTTTCCCCGTGAGCCTTGAGGCTACTAACAGAGAGTGGGAAAATCTGGGACCACTTGGGACCTGGAATGTGAATACATTAAGTTCCTGCCCAGTAAATACCGCATAAGGCTTTTCACCTCTGAGGAAACCAAAGCTCAAAGCAGTGAAATTCACAGCCAAAAGTTACATAACTAGTAAATGGCACACCCAAGATCTATATCCAGGTCTGACCTCAAACCTTATTTGCTCTTCCCTGCACTCCACTGCTTCAGAATCACAGACAGAGTGGTGAGGCATTAGTCTCGGGAGTTGGACTGCCCAATTCATATCCCAGCTCTGCCACTTGGCTGCTGGATACCCTTAGGGAAGTTACTGAACTTCTCTGTGCCTCAGTTCCCTCATTGGGAAGTGGCAATGACAACGCTCCCAATGCTGTACAGTGGCTGAGAGGATTAAATATCAAGTGCTTAAAACAGTTGCTGACACACGGTAGGTGAATCAACCTGATGCTCAATAAATATTTGCTGACCGATTCAGCAATGTCAGCCCAAAGGCAGGCCAGCTTCCAGATCAGGAAGGGGCCCAACTCCAAAGGCTCTCACCCCTTGGCTGGGCCCCATGATCATGGGGTGTACCTTTTGAAGACCCCCTCCCTCCCCTCAGCCTTAGAGGTGGGGACCCCATCACACTCACAAGCTGAAGATAAGCTTCTCGTTAATGCCGGAAATGACAGAGGCAACAGACAGGGTGAGGATGGAGGCTCCGAAGAACACGTGGATGGGTTTCAGGAGGCTGCGCAGCCACAGGGATGCCCAGGGCAGGAGGAAGACGGCAAATCCCAGGACCCACTGTAGACACAGGAAAGGTGGCACCCGACTGTACTGGAGCTGATCACAGACGCACAGCTCTCCTCACCCCACCCCACCAGCCCCTCCTGCCCATCACTGTCGCTTGGCCCTGCTTTCCCGACTCCAACACTCCCACCAGGCATTGTCCCACTATCACACCCAGCCTCCACGCAGTGCTCTGTCAGTGTCTATTACATATGCAGCAAGAATGTTCTGGGAACTGCTGAGCCACAATCCCACTCCCCTAGCAAACCCAACCACCCTTGTTTGTCTCTGCTTCCTTCCAGCCTGTGCTCATAAAACTCCCCACTGGCAGGGCTGACCTCAGAATACACAAATCAGTTCTAAAGTTGCTTTGGTTGAGCGGTGGGAATGGGAAGTGGGCAAGCAGTGGCTCAAGAGTGTCAATGCGGGACATGCTATGATGAAGTTAGCCCAGAAGGCTGTGAGATGAGATGGACTGTGTGAGGGGTAAAAGGCACAGGGAAACTGGGGAGCCAGCAACCTCCCACAGCTCTATAAACTGCCAAGCTGGAGGACATACTCTGCAAGGCCCTCTCGAGGCAGGGAAAGACCCAGCCAAAGAGTCCAGGGCTGCTAGACCCAGCATGGGGGGATCTAGGGAGGAGGGCGGGAGGACCCACCTGGCAGGCGAAGAGGATGACAGTGGTGATGCCCAGCCAGCTGTGCAGAGAGTAGAGGTTGGCGATATTTTCATGGCTGTGAAACTCGAAGACTGCGACCAGCCCCACAACGGTGAAGATGAAGGCCATCAGGTGTAGGCCTGCGTGGAGGAATTTCCAGGGCAGCTTGGGCCCCACCCAGGACTGCGGCAGACGGTACACCAGCGACGCTGCAGGGGAGAGCAGTCCTGGGCTCAGCCACATCAGGAGAACTGGGGACCAGGTCCCACCCAGCCTCCCAACGAGGGAAGAAGTGCAAGGACACTGGAGTCAACACTCAGCATCTTCCATCCTCCCATCACTCGGGGGATAGCAGTCAGCCGTGAGGGAGGAGAGAAGGGCCCGTTGGAGAAGCAGGAGCAGGTGTCCTGAAGCTGCCACTCTGTCACAACAATCATAAAGGCAGCCCCAAAGCACTGTCACGTTCAGTATGTTTCATCAAACTGAATTCTCACAACCAAGGTGAGTTATCAAGTACACAGGCAGAAAGGTCACACAACCTGGGTCCAAATCCGGGCTCCGCTTCTTGCCTGTTTGGTCTTCCTATTGGTCTTCCTAAGTCCCAGTTTCCTCATCAGTAAAATGGGTATCAATAGAGCCCACCCCACCAGCTAGTTGTAAGGACAAAATGGAACGATGGATGTGGAGAGGGTTGGTAAGCTGGTCTTATCAATGTCATTATTCCCATTTTACAAGCAGGGAAAATGAGGCTCACCTGGGCCTCAAGGCACAGATTTGAATGCAGGGGGCAAAGCTGGACCCCAGAAGAGTGATTCCTTCACTAGGATTAACTACAGCCCATAGGTCACAGCCAGCCCACACCTATGTTTGTGAATGGACAGTTACTGGAACACAGTAAACACATGGGCCATGCTCATGTCTATGTCTGTTCTCATAATAAAATGGCAGAGTCAAGTAGCTGCCACACAGGTCACACGGCTGGCAAAGGCTAGAATCCGTACTTAGAAAACCCCTGCCCTAGAGTCTGTGCTCTTCAAAGACAGCCCTACCACCTCACTTCTCCCCTCAAATGACAGCTGGGCCTAACCCCATAACCCCAAACCCAACACTGATTGAGGCCAGACTTGGAAAGGAAAGTGCTTGTCCACCTGGGCCCAGGGCCATGGCATACCTCCCATGCCAACCTGTTACTCACCAGCTCCATAAAGTACTACCATGCCAGTGACCATGAGCACTGGGTGCCAGTTGAACATGTGGGTGCTGCCATCCCAGGCAAAGCCGCCACGCCAGTACTGCATCCAGTAGGCGGTGAAGAGAACAGACATGGAGCCCAGGGACCCCAGCACGAGGCAGGTCAGGTAAAACCAGCCTGAAGCCATTCAGATCGAGCACTCCTAGAAGAAACAGAAGTCACGGGTCCCCACTGGCTTGGGGCACCCTGCATGCTGGCTAAAGGAGTAACACTGACCTTGCTTATGGCTTGTGGGATGAATCCTGTTGCTTCAGCCCCCGGTCAGCAGTCTGAACACTCCCCCAGGAGCCCTTGAGAGCTGGGCGGACCTAATCTCTGGTTACAGACAAGGAGTAAGGCCCCACCCCAGCGGCAGCAAGCTCAAGGCTGTGGCAGGTCCTGGAACGGGCCTTCTGTGCTGTGGTTGGAAGCCCAGACCCTAGGCCCAGAGCTCTGAGATCACCCTCCCTTCACAGAAGCAGAATATAAAGCATTAACCTCTCTCCCCGAGAAAAAAAGGAACAGCAATCAAAATCCAGATTAGTGGGGCCAGCATTGTGGCAGAGCAGGTTAAACCACTGCCTATGACGGCAGCATCCCCCATGGCTGCCAGCTTGTGCCGGCTGCTCCACTTCCAATCCAGCTCCCTAATACTCCTGGGAAAGCAGTAGAAGATGGCCCAAGTACTCGTGCCTCAGCACCCACAGGGAGCCCTGGATGAAGCTTCTGGCTTCAGCCTGGCCCAGCCCTGGCTGTTGTGGCCATTGGGGAGTGAACCAATGGATGGAAGACCGCTCTCTCTCTCTGCAACTCTGCCTTTCAAATAAATAAATAAATCTTTAAAAAAAAAAAAATCCAGGTTAGTTTACACAAATGCCCAGGCTCTCGGTTTTAACATAAGGAAGCAAAAATCACAATCTGAATGGGGAAAACTCACTAAAGGTTGAGTGGTGCTGTCCAAACACCAGAGGTGTTTCAGGTTTCAGAATTTTTCAGACTTTGAAATAGGCACACATTGTTTGCATGACATGTCAGCACTCAAAACGTTTCAGATTTGGGAGCATTTTTGCATTTCCGATTAGAGATGCTCAATTTACATTATCAGGCTCGCCAGGAAGAAGTCCTTCAGGCTCCCACTTCTGAGGGACAGTGATGCCTCACCAGGTGGTAAGCCCAGTGGAAGGGATTTCCACAGGGAAGGCGGGATTGGGTCTTCACTCCCGACTCCCCGCCGTGCCAGTCCCTGAACTCAGTGATACCCCTCAGCGGTCTCTAGCCCGCCTCGGACTTCCGCTTTCTCAGGGGAAAGTCCGGAGGAGGAAAGAGGAACAAGAACTCATGGTCTAGAAAGCAATAGGTCTATTCTGAGAGTTCCACGTGCATTTGTTAACTCAAAACCCACCCGGTTTCAGGCCTGCCAAATGTTTATGCTCCTGTGCAGCTGCTTATGAAGGCCAGGCAAACGGGCAAAGCTACAGGACTGGTCCTGCTTCCAGAAAACGTGTGGACAACACGGGTCCCGGCCTCGCAGCCGTCATCCTATCCCCCAGACTCACATCACGCAGGCAGCAATGTGGCCTCCTGCAGCTGAGGCCCCTCACAGTGAACCAGCTAACAGACGAAAATTAGCTGCTAACTCTTGAAGAAAGAGAATATCTGATTCCTCACCTTTAGTCCTAGGGAAAGTTGACACGGTGGTGGCCTGGGCCCCAATGCTCACACAACAGTCACCTGCGGCAAATCACTTAGTGTTTGTAAGACAGCTCGCATCTGAAAGAAAGCTGTGGCAATAAGAATGTTATTTACTGAACACCAGTTCTAAGCACTACAATCGTTTATTAAAAAATATTTATTTATTTGAGAGGCAAAGTTATAGACAGAGGGAGAGACAAAGAGATCTTCCATCTGCTAGTTCACTCCCCCAAATGGCCACTACAGCCAGAGCTAGGCCAACCCGAAGCCAAGAGCCAGGAGCTTCTTCCAGTCTCCCACGTGGGTACAGGTGCCCAAGCACTTGGGGCATCTTCCACTGCCTTCCCAGGCCATTAGCAGGGAGCTGGATCAGAAGTGGAGCAGCCGAAATACAAACTGGTGCCCATATCGGATGCCAGTGCTGCAGGTGGAAGCTCAACCTACTACACCACAGCACCGGCCCCAGAATCCTGCAGGCACCATACCATTCACTTCTTTCAACAGCCCTGCAGAGACTCCACCTCCCCCCCCATCTCCCACCTGAGGAGACTAGGACACAGAGACATGGAGTCACCGGCACTAGGACCCAGCCAAGTGGGTAGGGAGTTTCCAGTCCTCATCTGCTTGGCTTCAAGGTCCTTGCCTTCTCATTGTCCACAGGTTCTCAGAAGATCAAGTGAAAAAGTGAATGAGAGCACATTCTAAGAGTCAAGTGTGCTAGCTCTTCTTAGTTACTACTGTTGCAGAATTTTATCCTAACTCCTAACAAAAACCTGAAGCTCGTGGTCCCCATGCCTGCCCTGGCCTCAATAATCCTGATTACATTGCAGGTGTGATGCCCAGGGTGATCCCCAGACCAGATGTCCAGCTCACAGGGACAGACACTGGGCTCTCACCAGGTGATTCAAGTTAGCAATAATCTCTGAGAGAGGAAGATGTGAGGACTCAGGGGATAAAACTGTGTTTCACTGAGTCTAGAAGCTTCCTTGAAACTTTGTGACTCAACTACTGAATTCAGAGACTTGCCTCTGAGCCCTAGCACTGCCCCCTCAGTTCCCGTAAGCACAGAGGAAGTCTCAGGTCATCAAATATTCAGCTAACACCCCGCTGCCCACAGTAAAGTAAGTCAGCACCCAGGAGCTCTTGGCTGACAGGCCCCATCCCTCTGACAGCTACTTCCATAATCTTTCCTTTGTAAAAGAAAACATGGTCCAAGAGGGACTGGATTGCTGCTGTGTGATAGACTTAGGATAAACCACCAGGTCACTTTTCTGGCACTACTCTGCTCAAAACGCACAGATAAGCCCTCTTCCCTGAAAGAGAGCTACAGCATGGGGAAAGGACGAATACACTGAAAAATGCAACGTGAACACTGAGAGTATCCTCACTGGTTCTAAGAGAGCAGGGAGGGCTATGAATTCAGAATGTGCTCACCACTGGTCTCAGCCAACTCTTCTGTAAAGCACCAATAGGAAAGGCTTTAGGCACTGCAGGGCATAAGGTCTCTGCCACAGCCAAGGCAAGTCTGCCGATGTGGTGCCACAGCAGCCAAAGATCTTAACAAATGACTATGATCGGGCCTGGCACTGTGGCATAGCGGGTAAAGCCACAACGGCTTTCCATGAGTGCCAGTTCAAGTCCTAGATCTCCATTTCCGATCTAGCTGTCTGCTATGGCCTGGAAAAGCAGTGGAAGATGGCCACTCAAGTGCTTGGGCTCCTGCACCTGCTTGGGAGACCCAGAAGTTCCAGGCTCCTGGCTTCGGATTGTCCCAGCTCCAGCCACTACAGCCATCTGGGGAGTGAACCAGTGGATGGAAGACCTCTCTGCCTCTGTCTCTGTAACTCTGCCTTTCAAATAAATAACCTTTTTTTAAAAAAAATGACTATGACCATGTTCCAGTAACACTTTACCAGTGGACACTGAAAATGGATTTTCATAATTTTTTTAAAATGTATTTATCTGAAAGGCAGAGTTACACAGAGAGAGAAAGAGAGGCAGAGAGAGAGAGAGAGAGGTCTTCCATCTGCTGGTTCGCTTCCCAATTGGCCGCAATGGCCCAACTGTGCCGATCCGAAGCCAGGTGCCAGGAGCTCCCTCCAAATCTCCCACGTGGGTGCAGGGACTTGGGCCATCTTCTACTGCTTTCCCAGGCCATAGCAGAAAAGTGGATCAGAAGTGGAGCAGCTGGGACTCAAATCGGCACCCATATGGGATGCTGTAGTCAGCAGCTTAACCCACTACGTCATAGCGCCGGCCCGGATTTTCATAATTTTCTTCACTCACAAGGTATCCTTTTCCTTTCCATCATCTAAACATGTAAACACCACTCAGGCAGCCCAGATCTGGTCTGTGAATTGTAGTGTATAAACTTTGGTCCAAGGAGTCTACCTGCTACCCTAATACAGCACTCTCAATTCCTTGGCACAAAGAAGTCTCCCAGGGTAAGCCTAACATACCAGCCCCAGTGGTAAGACAAGACAAGGGCATCTGCCATTCAGCCCTTAGTCTCAGAAACTCTTGCAACGTTACTTTTTATAATTAGTAAAAAAAAAAAAAAAAAAAAAAAGAGGAAGGGAAGAAAGTCAGTTTATTGCTTTCCTTTCCCAGTTGGGGGATGAGAGTTCAGAGCCAGTGTTGTGGCACAGCACGTTATGCCACTGCTAGGTAAGAGCGCCCAGTTAGCGTCCTGGATACTGTGAGCTTCAGATCCAGCTTCCTGCTCATGCAGCTGGCCCCAGTACTTGGGACCAGGCAGGCATGGGAGACCAAGATGAAGTCCTGGCCCCTGGCTTTGGCTGGCCCTTTTGCAGGCATTTGGGGAGCAAACCAGTGGACAGAAGATCTCTCTCTGTCACTCTGTACTTCAAATAAGAAAATCTTTTAAAAACTGCATGCGGGGCCTGTGTTGTGGTACCAGTGGGTTAAGCTGCCACTTGCAATGCCAGCATCCCATTTCAGAGTGCCAGGTTCACGTCTCAGCTGCTGTTTCTGATCCAGCTTCCTGCTAATGTGTACCCTGGGAGGCAGCAGATGATGGCTCAAGTACTTGGGCCTCTGCCACCCAAGTGGGAGACCTGGATGGAGTTCCAGGCTGCTGCCTTCCCCTGGTTGCAGCTATTTGGGGAGTGAACCAGCAGACAGAAGCTCAGTCGGTCGGTCGGTCTCTTTCGCTCTGCCTTTCAGATAAATGAATCGTTTGTTAAAAAAATATCAGAGACCCAGACTTAGGGCTCAAATTTTAAATTCTTATTCTTACAGATCCAAAATACTCAGTTAACACTGAGACCCAAACAAAAGAAACGACTTGGCCAACGTGCGTGGCAGAGCTGGTACAGGAGCTCAGGAGCGCTGTTTCCCAAGGTGAAGTCAAGGCTCAGCAGTCCAGGCAGGAGGTAGGCAAGCAGAGAATTACAGACCTGTCTTGGACTGGGTTCAGGTCTGGCTCAGGCTTCCGAAGGACGGGTCCAGGCACTCGGAGGCTCTGGCTGGGCGCTTAGTACCCCCTAACCGCCAGTGAAAGTTGGGGCAAGGGACTCCTCTTGCTCCCTGCGCCTTCCGAAGGGCTTGTGTGCCTTTACAACCACCACCTGCGGGAGGAAGAGCGCAGAGACCTGTGTCTGTTTCCCAGAAGAGAAAAAGTGAGGCTGAGCGAGGGGTCGCGACAGTGCGAAGCGAGGCAGTAGCGGGGCGCCTGCATTCGAACGAACCCAGGTCCCTGACTCCCAGCCCGAGCTCCTTCTCACCCCTAACCACAGTGAGACGCCGCAAGGCCGGGGTCTCCCGAGACCCGCCTCTCGCCACCGCAGCTGCAGCTCCCGAAGCTCCTGGAACTTTCACTGACGCCAGAAGCGAGCTGTCACCGCCGTCCTAGCGGGGAGCCACGGGCAGCGCCTCACTTTCTCTTATAAGCTCGCGGGGAACTTCCGGCTGCGCGCAAAGCCGCCTGGGAAATGGAGTCCGGAGCCCGAGATGGGCAGGCTCCCGGGTACTGCGGCCCCCGCAACTACGGTTCGGGCACGGGCCTTTCTTCCCCAAGCCACGACGCGTCTGCCCGCCCTGCACTCCCCGACGCCCCCAACGCCCGGAAGCGGAATGTTCGGGTTGAGGCGATGCCTCCCGCCAGGGGCTGGTCCTGAGCCAGGCCGTGCGCGGCATGGGTGGGCAAGCCTTGCTCGGCTTAGGGGACGCTGCGAGGGCCGGGAGCAAGGTGGGCCCGGGAAGAATGAAGGCCCAGATATGGCGGCCGGGATAGTCCTGGAGCGGAGAGACGAAGCCCGCGTCCTCCATCTGCTTCCGGAATTTAAAGGCGGTTTCCGGAAGCCGGGATGGTGTCGCCATGACAACCGCCGTTGGCCCTGTGAGGCGAAGCGTGGTGGATGAGGATCGGGTAAAGTGGCCGGAGAACAGTTTCTGTTACTGTCGTTTTGGGTTCGGGCTGGTGTGGGTTTGTTTTTTGCCAAGGTAGCCCCATTTTCCAGCGGGACTGGGAAGGGTGAGGCAGGCTGCTCTGGGGACCAAGGGAAGGCAGCAGGTAGCGGTGGACGAGCTGTGAGGAGCGCTGCTTTCGCCTGCGAGTCACCGCCGCCCCGAGCTGCGGGGGATGGCCGTCCACCTCGGGAGAGCGATCCTGGCAGCCCTTCGTGGCCTGTGAGGAGGGCAGTGGGAGCACGGGTGAGGTGGCACAGCGCCCGGGCGTCCTGGCTGTGCTGGCGAGGAATGACTTGAACTCTCGACCCTGTGTACGCCCCTGTGACGTGGGGACAGCTCCTTCCCACCTTGCAGAGTTGTTGCAAGGATTAAAGGGGATTATCCCAGATGAGGAGTCTCTCATGGTGCTGCTAACCTAGGTGATAGCTAACGATGCTAGTTAGTAAGCCTTGGACCCCAGGCTCGCGGAAGCCTCTGTCTCCAGCCAGTACGGTGGCCCAGGTGCCTTCGCCTCTGAGAGCTCCCATAAAATGGGGATTGTGTGCATTATAACGGCTGCTTCCCAAGGTGGTTGTAGGATTAAGTAATGCTATAAATATGGAAATAGGGGCCTGTGTTGTGGCATAGTAGGTAAAGCATACCCCTGTGGTGCTGATATCCCATATGGGTGCCACTTCCTGTCCCGGCTACTCCACTTCTGAGCCAGCTCCCTGCTACTGTGCCTGGGAAGGCAGCAGAGGATGGCCCAACTGCTTGGGCCCCTGCACCCATGGAGGAGAACCCAAATGAAGCTCCTGACCCTGGCTTTGGACTGCTCTGCTTCAGCCGTTGGCAGCCCTTAGAGGAGTGAACCAGTGGATGGAGGATCTGTCCCTCCCTCTAATTTTGCCTTTCAAGAGTAAAATAAATATTTTTAAAAATAAATATAGAAATAGTACATTGCAAACCGTTTTAATGTAATCACTTTCTAGCACTTTAAGGCATTTTGAAATTTGCTTATAGATTTCTTCTAGCCCCAAGGCACTGATCATCTCCAAAGCAATTTGTGGGTCTTTGAGTAGTGAAAATGAAGCCCCAGTGTCCTTTGCCAGGTGCCACTTTGTCACTAACATAACCTTAAACTTGAGTTTTTCAAAAGGGCACCATCTCCTCTCAGCTCCTTCAGCCTATAGCACTTCCCACTTCCCACTTCCCACTTCCCCTGTGCCTATGTTTTTCCTCCCTAGAAATATTTCAAGCCAGGGGCCAGCACTGTGGCACAGCAGGTTAACCCCCTCGCCTGAAGTGCCAGCATCCCATTTTGGTGCTGGTTCAAGATCCAGCTGCTCCACTTCCAATCCAGCTCTCTGCTATGGCCTGGGAAAGCAGTAGAAGATGCCCCAAGTCTTTGGGCCCCTGCACCTGTGTGGGAGACCCAGAAGAAGCTCCTGGCTCCTGGCTTTGGATGGGCACAGCTCCAGCTGTTGTGGCTATCTGGGGAGTGAACCATAGGATGGAAGACCTCTCTTTCTCTCTGAAAAAAAAAAAAAAAATTCAGGTCAAAGTTATGCAAGAGTTGGCTTCATGCAGTAGTTAGAAGAGTGAAACTCTGGAACCATGCTGCCTGGATTTGAATCCAATCTGCCACTTATTAACTGTGTAACTTTGGACAAATTATTTTACCGCTGTGGGCCTCAATTTTTTCATCTGTAAAGTGGAGAATAATGTATCTTCAGCTTCTTGAGATTATTGTGAGCTTAAAATAACATTAATATTTAGGACCGTCCCTGGTACAGTGAACGTGATACAAGAGGGCTTGCTGCTATTACTACTACTACAACACAACCACAGCACCCTAGATTCCTTTGCCTAGAGAAAGTCTTGAGGGTGAGAGTGCCCAGAAGGAATGGCCAGTTGGGGTTTCTGGTTGTTGGAATGGTGCTTGGCCCTTACTAATTTCTTGTGTTAATGATCTCACAACTTTGCCTCTTTTTCTGCCCCCACAGGCCCAAGGGAAGAACTGATTTTCCCTCTGTGCTGGGGACAGAACCAGGAGTTGTTTTCTGGAGAACTGTGGAATGTGCCCTTGGGGACCCAAGAAAACAGAAGGAAGATGCTGCAGACCAGTAACTACAGCCTGGTGCTGTCCCTGCAGTTCCTGCTGCTGTCCTATGACCTCTTTGTCAACTCCTTCTCAGAGTTGCTCCGAATGGCCCCTGTCATCCAGCTGGTGCTCTTCATGTGAGTTCAGTGGGTGGCTCTGGGAAGCTGAACACGAGCATATGGGAGGCACTGACCGTTGAGATTTAGCATTTTAAAGTTAAGAATGGGGAACTCTCACAGAGAATAAAATTTCACATTGTCCTGGGTTCTCCATGCTGTGTAGACATGGTCTTATTTGTTTATATACTTTTATTGGAAACATTTATTTACTTGAAAGGCAGAATTACAGGGAGAAAAAGAGAGAGATCTTGCATCCACTGATTCACTCTTCAGATGGATGCAACAGCCGGGGCTGGGCCAGGCCAAACCCGGGGGCCTGGAACTCTTGTCAAGATTGGGTGGCAGGGGCCCAATCACTTGAAGCATCTTCCGCTGCTTTCCCAGATGCATTAGCAGGGAGCTGGATCAGAAGTGGAGCAGCCAGGACTCCAACTGGTTCTCCAGGATGGGATGTCAGTGTTATAGGCGTGGCTTAATTTGCTGCCCTACAACACCAGCCCCCTTGTTTATAAACTTCTAAGAAGGGGAGAGTTAACATATGAAATGAAGGTCGGACTACTGACCCGGGCATTTTCTCCATCTATGAATAGAAATTCTATCTTGCCATGAAAGAGGATTATAAAATGGCAGGTTAAAAACACATTCATTGGGTTTCTGCCACCCATACACAGATCCTGGAAGGCAGTGGTGGTGGTTCAGATAGTTGAAAGCCTGCCACAAATGTGGGAGAACCAGATTGAGTCCCTAGCTCCTAGCTTTAGCCCAGCCCAGCCCTGGCCATTGCAGACATTTGGGGAATGAACCAGCAGATGGAAGCTCTTTCTCCTTGGCTCTCTAGCTCTCAAATAAATAAATAAAGTTTTTAAAAAGTCAATAGGGGCTGGCACTGTAGCATAGTGGGTAAAGCTACTGCCTGTAGTGTCAGCATCCCATATGGGCACCAGTTAGAGTCCTGGCTGCTCCACTTCCGATCCAGCTCTCTGCTATGGTCTGGAAAGCAGGAGAAGATGGCCCAAGTCCTTGGGCTGCTGCACCCATGTGGGAGACCAGGAAGAAGCTCCAGGCTCCTAGCTTCAGACTGGCCCAGCTCTGGCCATTGCAGCCATTTGGGGAGTGAACCAGCAGATATAAGACTTCTTAGTCTCTCTCTGCCTCTGTAACTCTGCCTTTCAAATAAATAATATACAGTGATGCAGTACATGATAATGTTTTGGTCAATGATGGTTTACCACAGTGGTGCTTTTGGAGTATATTGCCTAGCAATGTTGTAAAACCATCTTAGTTGGTGTGAGTGCAGTTCATGGTGTTCACACAATGATGCAATCCTTTCATGTTGCATTACTCAGAACATATCCCTGTTGATAGGTGACACATGACCATATGTGAGTCCCGTAGGACAGAACTTGCAGGATTTATCCTCAACAATGATTTATAGACTCCATGAGGCAATTTCTAAATTGAAAAACCAGTTTTGGACATGATCTTACTTCATTCAACAAGCATTCATTGGCCTCCTAAACACTGTTCTAGTTCCAGTGGTAAACTTGACAAGTTCCTGCTCCCATGGGGTTTCCATTCTAGTGGAGAGAGGCAATAAACATAATGCAAGAGACTATCATTTCAAATAGTGATGTCATGCAATGGATGTGAAGTGGGGGTGGGGAAGGGAGGCCTTGTTGGGTAGAGGGGTTACAGTCTGAAGAAGGGATATGTGGAACTAAGACATGGAATGGCACAAAGGCAATAGCCAAGCAAAGATGGGAGAAGTGCTTCTTGTCTTCCTAAGTGAAATTGTCTGACAGGACCAGGTTATGTGACAGAAAAAGCTGACTTTTTCTGGACAAAGAGAGGAAACTGTCGTCTTAGAACTGCCTAGTAGGTTGCTGTGTTAAAAGTGTCCAGGGAAGTCCTGTTTGGACTGAAACTCAACTGATGATTAATTTTACCTTTGTGTTATTTGGGTGCCAAACCCATGGCATCTCTGGGGGAGGGTGGTCATAGGACTGTATCACAGGGAAGGAATGACCTCATGGTTTCCTTCAGGACATAGGGCCAGCTGTTGGGTTCTCACACAGACCACCGTTTGGCTATACTTTGTTTTCTATGTCTGCAGCATCCAGGATATTGCAATCCTCTTCAACATCATCATCATTTTCCTCATGTTCTTCAACACCTTCGTCTTCCAGGCTGGCCTGGTCAACCTCCTATTTCATAAGTTCAAAGGGACCATCGTCCTGACAGCTGTGTACTTCGCCCTCAGCATCTCCTTTCACGTCTGGGTCATGGTAAGAGTTGAGCCCTGAATTCTTGAACCTTTGGAGCCAGGGATATCTTTTTCTGTGAGAACCCGGCTTCATTCTTTGATCACGCAGAATCCTTGATAAGAAACAGGTGAGATGAAAGTGATCCAGGCTGCAGTTTTGGGCACATGACAATTTCCTGAGGCACTGTTGCCAAACCTTAGGTCTTAAAGAACAGCTTTATCCAAAGATTGAGGAATTCTTCTGGAACATTCAGTTCACCTTTGCCCCAAATAACCTACCAGGGCTAAAATAGGACGTTTTTTTCATCAGCTTTTTGGGCAGGTGAGTGTTGCCAGAGGGTCTTCTTAGGTATCAGTGTCTCTGGCTACTGTGATAGAGCGGGATATTTCTAGAGAGCAGCTGAATAGAGTGCTGCTTACCCTTTGGTACTGAGTGCCCATTACTTAGCCTGGGAAGACCAGCCTTCGAGATATCTCTCTTTGCTTCCAACATAGGCCTCAGCAGATCCAGTTGTCCTGATTGCAGATTTTTCCTGCTGCAGAAATTCTCACATGTTTTGGGCATGTCATGTGTTTACCACGTATTCATTTTGATGGAACACATTAAAATCCCAGGGTTCTCTAGTCACATCTTCACTAAAGCTGCCTTCTCAGCTGAACCCTCTGTTAGGTTGCCCTTGTCTGGGGGAAAGGGAGAGCCCACGGAAAGGAAAGAGACGCTATCCAAATCTCTACGTGCCTCCTGACGCGGATTCTGTGCTGTGGCTCCTGGAGCCAAAATAGGTCCTGGCTTTGTACTATAAAGCTTCTGATCTGATTAAATCTTGAGTGCAGCAAAGCGTTTATCTGACAAGAGCTGAGCTTGAGACTTTCAAAGCAAGAGAGAGACCAGATGAACTCCTGAGACAATGTATATCATTTCTCCTTGGCAAAGGCTGTGGAATGAAAGGGAATAAATAGCTTAGTTCAACTTCCTCTCTAGGGGTTATAAGGATATCCCCTCTGCAGCAAGACAAAGGAGCTTGAGAAAGGAGAAAGGTGAAATTAGTATGATTTTCAGCCAAGTAACATTTCTGCAGCTAGCCAGCTTGGAGATGTTAGGACCTTGTATGGCCACTGACCTTCCCCTGCCCATTCCTGTCTCTTTGCAGAACTTACGCTGGAAAAATTCCAACAGCTTTGTTTGGACAGATGGACTTCAAACGTTATTTGTATTCCAGAGACTAGGTAAGGAATAGAGCAACCTCAGGCATCACTTTAGTCTCACATATGTCTCCAGCTCTGAGGGCCTTGATTCTGGATTCCCAGCCCAGTCACAACTGGCTTAGGCTGGTTGGGACAGGCATACCATGAGCAGGAGAGACTCCTGCCCTCTGCTCTTGCTGGAGAAAGTGGGAAATCAGGAGGCAGGGCCCCTCAGCCTTGTTTGTTTCTGTTCGTACTCTGAAGCGAATACGAGGCACACCCCTGAGGCTTCTTTGCTTACAATTCACAGCGGCAGTGCTGTACTATTACTTCTACAAACGTACCGCTGTGAGACTGGGCGATCCTCGCTTCTACCAAGATTCTCTGTGGCTGCGCAAGGAGTTCATGCAAGTCCGAGGGTGACCTCTTCCTCTCACTCTGATGGATGCCTTTCCTTCCTGACTGAAGCTAAGTGTGTTGCTCTGCAGGGAGGGGTGGCCCAGGAAACAGCTCAGGCCAAAAGATGTTTTGCTAATTGAAGTGTTCCCCAGCAGACTCCAGTACCTAATCCCTTCATTGCCTCCTACTTCAGTTTTCCCCCTTTCCTGCCTTTCTGGCTCTGTAACATTCATTCTTTCTGACCACCCCCCTACCCCAATCCTTATTTCAACTTCCTCGGAGCTCTGTGGCCCTTACCCTTGTCAATCTTCCTTTAGCCTGGGACAGAAGGACCTCCCAGCCCCTGCTTTCCTTACACCACACATGAGTGATGGAAGGATGCAAAGAGATCATTTTGTGCTCCTGGCTAATCACATGATCAGATTTCGATCTTATACCCAAGGCACTTTGTTTACATTTTATAAATAGGAAATAAATTGAATTCTTTTTCCATAAATAGTAGAGTCTGTCTGTCTAGCTAGATTTCGTCACGATTAAGAAGTGTGCTCAGTCCAAGCTTCAACATCTTGCCTGGAGGGTAGATTGAGCCCCATTTTGAGTATAATTTTTTTTTTTTTAAGATTTATTTATTTGAAAGGTGGAGTTACAGGGAGGCAGAGAGAGAGAGAGAGGTCTTTCATCCGCTGGTTCACTCCCCAAATGGCTACAACGGCTGGAGCTGTGCTGATCCAAAGCTAGGAGCCAGGAGCTTCTTCCAGGTCTCCAGCGTGGGTACAGCGGCCCAAGGACTTAGGCCATCTTCCACTGCCTTCCCAGGCCATAACAGAGAGCTGGATCAGAAGTGAAGCAGCCAGGACTTGAACTGGCGCCCATATGGGATGCCAGCACTGCAGGCGGCGGCTTTACCGTCTACACCACAGCAGCAGCTTTACCCTCTGTGCCACAGTGCCAGCCCCAAGTATAAGGTCTTTTGCAGAAACTTGAGATGCAATCTGGGTCCCCCCCTCAACACACACACACACACACACACACACACACCTGGAGTTCTAGACTCCTGGGTTTCATTCAGACTTTCCCTTTGAGAAGGGTAAACTGCCCTCGGAATAGTAAAAATGTTTCTTATCCTGTTTTGGCAAAAGGAATATTTTAAATACATAAACCCATGGTATCAGTTTTCTATTGCCAGACTTCAGTGGCACACATATAAACAATTTCTTGGCTCTTGAGATGCGGGCTTCAGCTAATCTGGGTTGAGTCCAGGTGCTTGCTAACATTGGACAAGAGCTGAGCCCAGATTTTCAAAGGAAGACAGTAACCATCTGTGATCAGCTGTGGGTCATCTGGGCAGATGTGATGATCTTGGGATCCTTTAGTTCTTGGCTAACCCAGGATGACCTCCTCTGGAAAAACTCGTTACTTAACTCTGGGGCACATGATTCACCCACCCTCGGACTAGCCTTGGTCTGTTCATATGACAGTGCAGAGGACTGAGAGCTCAAGCCCACTGGGTACTCCTATTTCAAGTCTCTGCTTCTGTGTCTCAGACTCCCCATTAGTCAGAGTGGTCAGGTGACTAAGGCTAATATCAGGGTGGGAATCATTTGCAAAGCTTCTGGATACAGAGGGGTGAAGAATGGAGTTCATTAATTCAATCTTACCAGAGAGGCAGTCTATGAAACTTGTTATTCAGAGATGCTGTAACACAAGGGTTGGCAGAATTTTCCTGTGAAGGGCCAGACAATAAATAGTTTTGATTCTGAGAGCATAACTATTCAACTCTGACATTAGAACATGAAAATAACCATCAACAGCATGATAGATGAAGGAATACGGTTGTGTCCCAGTGTAACCATTTATGGACACTGAAGTTTGAATGTCATGTAATCTCCATGTGTCACAGAATATTGCTCTTTTTTTTAATTTCTTTTTTGACTATGGAAGGATGTAAAAATTATTCTTAGCTTGTGGGCCATGCAAAAAGTCTGATGTGACCCCAGGCCAACTCCTGCTTTAGAAACCTGGAATAAATTTACAGAAACAGATAGGAGATAGTAGAGGTAATCAGATGTTAGTGTTTTAACATATATTATAAAAGAAAAGGTACAGCATTCAAATGGAGTATCTAAAGCACTAGCCTCATACACAGTAATTAGAATAAGTGATCTAAAGTTGGAAAAAAGCCACTATCTACATTTACTATTCCTTTATCTGTGAAAAAAATGGATGATATGGGGCTGGTATGGTGTAGCGGGTAAGGCCACCACCGTATGGGTGCCAGCTCGTGTCCAGCTGCTCTACTTCTGGTCCAGCTCCCTGCTAATGGCTTGGGAAGAGCAGTGGAGGATGGCCCAAGTGCTTGGGCTCCTGTACCCATGTGGGAGACTCAGATGAAGGCCCTAGCTCCTGGCTTTGGCCTGCCTCAGTGCTGGCCAATGCAGCCATCTGAGGAGTGAACTAGTGGATGGAAGATCTCTCTATCTCTCCTCTCTCTCTGTAACTTTCAGATAAATAATCTTTTTAAAAAATTAACAATATCTGATTTTGAATCTTTTCATAAAAAAAGTTAGAAGAATATCGTAATCCCCTTTGCCCATGTTAAAAAATTCTGAGACCAAGGAATCTGTGAGGTAAAAGGGTTTACTTAAGCTATTGCAGATGCCAGCCAGAAAAAGGACCTGGTCCTGGGATAAATTTCTGCAGCCTACCAGCAGCAAAGCCAGGTAATAGTTGGAAAAAATGTCCCCTGGACTAGAACAAAGCATTTTTGTTAATAATGAAAACAAGGGGGACGGAAGAACTAAGTTGTTTACACTGAACCCACATTGGCTATAGATGAAAGGGACAGGATTACAGCAAGTGGGAAAAAGCCTTGGGATAGGAGGGCAGTAACTGTTGCTTCTAGATTGCTTAGGGTTAACATTCCAGAAAGTGTATATGAAACCATGCAGTGGGTAAACAGGTTGCCTTGGCCCTGCTGGGATTTAGTCAAGATTTCAACATAAATAGTCTTTTTGTTGGTTTTGCCTGCAGCTGTTAACTGATTAACTTCACTTATCTTCCCCACCACTATCCTCCAGCCCTTGCAGTTTAAATTTGGGATACCTCAAAATCTTCTATCACTCACCACAAAAAAAAATTTTTAATAATTATTTATTTATTTAAAGGCAGAGTTACTGAGAGGGAAAGGCAGAAGCAGGGAGAGAGAGCAAGCCAGCTTCCATCCACTGGTTCACCCTCCAAATGGCCGCAACTGGCTGGGCCAGACTGAAGCCAAGGGCCAGGAACTTCATTTAGATCTCCCACAAGGGAGCAGGGGCCCAAGTACTTGGACCATCTTCTATTATCTTCCCAGGCACCCTAGCAGAAGCTAGATCAGAAATGGAACAGCAGGCAGTGGTTTAACCTGTTACACCACAGCACCGGCCCCTCATCACCAACTCTTAAAGATAGATCTTTTAGGGGCATTTGGCTTGTGGTTAAGACACCCACATCCCGTTTTGGAAGGCCTGAGTTCAGTACTCACCTCTTGCTCCTGACTCCAGCTTCCTGATGATGCTGACCCTGGCAGTTCAAGTGATTGGCTTCCAGCCATCCATTTTAGAGACCTAGATTGAGTTCCTCGCTCCCTGCTTTCACCTCTGCCCAGCCCAGGCCATCACAGGCATTTGGGGAGTGAACCAGTGGATTGGGAGTGTGTGCTGCCTCCTTCTTTGTCTTCCTCTCACAGAAGCAGACAAAAGATAAAGATTTTTCTTAAAGGCCGTTCTCTGTGTCCTAAAATGAATCAGGGCTAGATAAATGAATCTTAAAAAGGAGGAGGAGGGCAGGGCCAGCACTGTGGCACAGTAGGTTAAGCCTGCACCAGCATCCCATATGGACACCAGTTCAAGTCCCCAGCAGATCCACTTTCCATCCAGCTCCCTCCTAATGTGCCTGGGAAAGCAGTGGAAGATGCCAAAGTGCTTGAGCCCCTGCACCTGCATGGGAGACCCAGAAGAAGCTCCTGGTTTTGGACTGGCCCAGCTCCTGCCATTGCAGCCATTGAAGAGTGAACTAGCAGATGGGCAGATGGAAGACCTTTCTCTGCCTCTCCCTCTCTCTGTCTGAAACTTTGCCTCTTAAATAAATAAATCTTTCAAAAAAATTTTTTAAAAAGGAGGAGGGGGGACTTTTGCAATATTCTTTCTACTGCTCACTGTTAGCCACTGAGTTTTATTCTCCCTCTCCTTGGCATTCTTTTAATTACTTATCTACTTTTAATAGATCATGTTCAGAGACATTTTTTAAAGGAAAAAATTATTATAATTCCTTAATCATTTATTTCAATTCTTGTTAGTATGTGCATACATTTTATACACACTTGTGATTATGGAGAATAGGCCAAAAAGTTTTGCTTTTATTTAAAAAAAAGATTTACTCATTTATTTGAAAATCAGAATTATAGAGAGAGAAGGAGAGAAAGAGAAATCTTCCATCCACTGGTTCACTCCCCAAATGGCTGCAATGTCCAGAGCTGGACCAGGCCGAAGCCAGGAGCCAAGAGTGTCTTTCATGTCTCGATGTGGGTGCAGGGACCCGAGCACTTGGGCCATCCTCCACTGCCTTCCCAGACACATTAACAGGGATCTAGATCAGAATTAGAGCAGGGCCCGGTTCTGTGGCACAGCGGGTTAATGCCCTGGCCTGGACCGCCAGTATCCCATATGGGTGCCAGTTCAAGTCCTGGCTGCTCCACTTCCAAACCAGCTCTCTATGGTCTGCGAAAGCAGTAAAGGATGGCCCAAGGAGACCCACGTGGGAGACCTGGAGGAAGGTCCTGGCTCCTGGCTTCAGATAAGCACAGCTCCGGCCTTTGCAGCCAGTTGGGGAGTGAACCATTGGATGGAAGACCTCTCTCTCTCTCTCTCTCTGCCTCTCCTCTCTCTGTGTAACTCTTTCAAATAAATACATAAATAAATCTTAAAAAAAAAAAAAAAGTAGAACAGCCGGCACTCAAACGGAAACCCTATTGCAGGTGTTAGCTTTACCCACTATGTCACAACACCAGCCCTAGTATTTAACACTGTTACATTAAAAAAAGATACTAAAAGGTATATAGAGTGCTTTAAAAAGTTTATGGAGAATGGGATTAAAATATGTTTACTTTGGTGCAAAAAATTTTTGGAAATCTATGCATATGAGGGAATCTTCCAGAAGTTCATGGAAATGCATACTTTAGAAAAATTATGCATGAATTTCAAAAACTTTTTATTGAAACTTATCTTTTAATTCCATTTTTTAAAAACATTATAAATTTGAAAGGCAGAGTTACAGAGAGAGAGAGAGACATCTTCCACCCAATGGTTCACTCCCCAAATAGCTGCAATGACCAGGGCTGGGCCAGGCCAAAGCCAGGAGCCTGTAGCTCCATCCAGATCTCCTACATGGGTGGCAGGGGCCCAAGTACTTAGGCTATCTTCCCCTGCTTTCCCAATATGGAGTGTTGACATTGCAAGCTGTGGCCTAACCTGCTGTGCCACAACACTGGACCCTCAGTTAATTTTTTGAAATACTCTCCTTTTTTTGTATTTCCTGGCACACAGACTCCTAAAACCCTTGAAATTTCCAAAGTGGTAGGCATCTTTTTGTATGCCAATGAGATGATGGTGTTGGGGCTCCTGAATGGCCTCAAGATGAGGGCTTGTTGTCAAGAGAACCAACCATGTGATCAAAGGACTGGAACATCCAGCCCTGCTCCCAGCATCTGGGGCTGGAGACTCAGTTAATCACTGCTGTGGTTTGAATATTAGTTTGGATGTTGAATGTCCCCCAAAGACCTCTATGTTAAAGGATTGGTCCCCAAAGTCTTATGTTATTGATACTAAGAGGGTGGAAACTTTTTTTTTCCCAAAGAAACCTTTTATTTAAGGAGTATAAATTTCATAAGTACAGCTTTAGGAATATAGTGATTCTTCCCACCATACTGCCCCTCCCACCCCCACTCCCACCCTACCTCCTCCTCCTTCTCCCATTCACAGTCCCATTCTCCATTAAGATTAATTTTCAATTAACTTTATACACAGAAGAGAGGGTGAAAACTTAAGTCAAATTATGGTGTATGCAGGTGGTGCCTCTGGGAGGGGATTGGATTGGATCGGCTCATTAGAGTGTTGTCCCCAAGAGTAAATCCCAGCGGTTATGTAAGGAGCATAGATGCATGTTCCCTGTTGCCAGTGATGCTGTCCACCACCTCAGGGCTCTGCCAGCAGAGGCCAAACCTGCCTGATCTTGGCCTGTGAGCCTCCAAAATAGCCAAAATAAACTTTTTTCCTTTAGAAACTTAGGCTGCTTTAGGCATTTCTTTATAATAATGAAAAACCTCACTGACACCATAAATCAGAGTGTCAGTTGTTAAATCAACAACAGGAGTTCTATGCACTTGCTCCCCATGTATGACCTCTGTCCTTAATGAGTTGTACTATGAGAATTAATGGAAAAACTAGTCTTCAAACAGTACTTTATACTTTGTGTGTCTGTGTGGGTGCAAACTGTTGAAATCTTTACTTAGTATAGAGTTGATCTTCTGTATATAATGATAATTAAAAATGAATCTTAATGAAGAATGAGATGGGAGAGGGAGTAGGAGATGGGACGGGAGTAGAGGCAGGGGTGGGAGGGCAGGTATGGGGGAAGAACCACTATATTCCAAAATGCTATACCTATGAAATTTAAATTTATTAAATAAGATTTTTTTTTTACATTTTAAGCTTTTATTTAGTGAGAAAAATGCATAGGAGAGTGAGAGCTTTATTTAGAGGTGAATAGGGGTTCATACCAAACACCAGGAACCAGCCACGTGGAAGAGCATCTAGGCCTGTATCTGGGCCAGGAAGCCTAGAGCACATGACCCGAAGGCCATGCGCCCTGGAGGCGTGGGGCTACAGCAAGCCCCCTCCCGACAAGAGGCCAGGGAACAAGAGCCGGCGCAAATTTATTAAATAAGATTTTTAAAAATAATGAACAGCCTGACTAATACAATGATTAGTGGCCAAAAATGATTCAGTCAATCATGCTTATGCAGTGGAGCTTCCATCAAAACCCTGAACAACAGGGTTCAGAGAGCTTTCAGGTTGATGACCACATCCAGATGCCAGGAGCGTGCTCCCTTCCCAGACCTTGTCCTGTGCATCTCTTCCATCTGGCTGTTCCTAAGTTCCAGCCTCTTATCTTAAACCAGTAACCTGTTAAGTTACTTATTTGCCTGAGTTCTGTGAGCCATTCCAACAAATTATCGAACTCAAGGAGAGGATTGTGGGAAACTTTATTTATAGCCATGGTCAGAAGTACCAAAGGATAGGACCTGTGATTGACATTTAAAGGGGGTAGTCTTGTGTGACTGTCACTTAACTGGTGGGCACTGATGCTGACGCCAGGTATATAGTGGCAGAATTGAGTTGAATTGTACAATACTCACTAGTGTCAAAGAATTGGTCAGCTTGGAAAAAACTCAACCTTTTTTTATATCATTAGTGAATATAGAGAAAATAAGAGTTTGTTTTTCCTTTTATTCACTTAGCAGTAGGAATATATTTTGAAGATATGATTTAAATTGACTCCTAGGGATAGCTGACTCTAAAATTTCAGAGGAAAGAAATAAATACTTTGGAAATGCTTAGAAACTTCCTTACTTTCGGTGGGATGAAGTTATTCTAGCTATCCAGTGCTGTAGTTAGGAGCTAGAAAGACGAGATGAAACACCCAAAGTCTGGATGAAAGGTGTTCAACAGGTATAAGGGTGCAAATGTGTAGGAAGAATAACTTTGAATGCTTTTAGCACAGTAATATAACTATGGTTGACAACAGTTTATCTTACATTTCATTGTACAACGAAATGATAACATTTGAGGTGAATAATGTGCCACTTGCCCTGATCTGATCATTACACATGGTATATACATGTACTGAGTGAAATGTCACCCTGTACCGTATAAATACATACAAGGACCATGTGTCAATTAAGAATAAAGGCATGGAGCCAATGCTGTGGTGCAATGGGTTAAAGCCCTGGCCTACAGTGCCAGCATCCCATATGGGCACCAGTTCAAGTCCCAACTGCTCCACTTCCAATCCAGCTCCCTGCTGATGTGCCTGGGAAAGTAACAGAAGATGGCCCAAGTCCTTGGGCCCCTGCACCCACATCAGAGATCTGGAAGAAGCTCCTGGCTCCTGGCTTCGGATTGTCTCAGCTCTGGACATTGCAGCCATTTGGGGACTGAACCAGCAAATGGAAGCCTCTCTTTCTCTGTCTCTACCTCTCTCTAACTCTGTCTTTCAAATAAATAAAAATCAATCTTAAAATAAAATAAAAGCTTGGCTGGCGCCGTGGCTCAATAGGCTAATCCTCCACCTTGCGGTGCCGGCACACCGGGTTCTAGTCCCGGTCGGGACGCTGGATTCTGTCCCGGTTGCCCCTCTTCCAGGCAAGCTCTCTGCTGTGGCCAGGGAGTGCAGTGGAGGATGGCCCAAGTCCTTGGGCCCTGCACCCCATGGGAGACCAGGAGAAGCACCTGGCTCCTGCCTTCGGATCAGCACGGTGTGCTGGCTGCAGCGCGCCAGCTGCGGCGGCCATTGGAGGGTGAACCAACGGCAAAAGGAAGACCTTTCTCTCTGTCTCTCTCTCTCACTGTCCACTCTGCCTGTCAAAAAAATAAATAAATAAAATAAAATAAAAGCTCACTTTTAAACTTCCCCCAAAATCACCTTTTT